TTGAGAAACACTGCCTTAAATGAACAGAAGTTGATGCAATCTTTACATTGTATTCAAATTTTCATTGCCATTTTTGTGCAAATCTGAATGCATCTTTATTATTTATGTGCAATTATTTACAGATTCAAAATTAGAAAACAGTACATATAGAAACATGCAGATTGGACAACATTTCAATGGATTCTTGCTGCATTTTTTTCTGTACAATAAAGTGGTTAAAAAAGCACCCAAAGGTAATTAAATCATTAGGGCTACTATACAATTCTTCAGTTGAACAAATATTCTGATCCTCCTAACGTCTTAGGTTGTGATTGTTGTTTTGTCTACTTTTACTGTTATCTTGATATATATATATATAGAGAGAAAGAGAGCACAGTGATGACGAACCTTTTAGAGATTGAATGCCAAGCTGCAACCCAAAACCCACTTATGCATCGTTGAGTGCCGGGTGGGTGTGGCCTATTTTGGTGGGTGTGGCACATTGGGGGGCGTGCTGCGGTAGTAATAGCAGACCGGGTGGGACTAAAAAGTTCAATCAATCAATTCCAACTTTGCAAGATCTTTTTTTCCCTGCGAGAAGTTGAAACTGACTGATTGAACCTTTTTTTTTTTTTGCACATGGCGGCGGAGGCCTAAAGTGAAAAGGTTTTATAAAACCCAGCTGAAGGCCTAGGACTGGGGCAACAGCACGTATGCCAACAGAGAGGGCTCTGAGTGCTGCCTCTGGCACTGTGCCATAGGTTCGCCACCACTGATATAGCAGGTCTTTAACTTGGTCTCTTAGAAGAAGACAGACAAAAATCAAAAACAGAACACCCCACAAACTATTAAAGTTCTAAATATATTAGGATTGTAGCATTATTAAGGTTTATTGGGGTTTATCGGTTTCCTATTGCTGAAAGAAGTGACTTCACAATGCATCAAAATCAAAAATAGATATTTGAAAGAATAAAGAAATGTATCAAATATTTTTGAAGATGTTAAACTAATGCCTGCTTTGTAAGAAAGTCTGGAGTAGATCCACAGGCAAATGGACATATTTTGTCCTTCTGTATGAAAGAAGGAAGAGCTCAAAAGAGAATGCCAGCCTTCATATTAAGTCTATGTCTATCAAATATTTTGATTCTTTTTTTGCAATATGTTGCTTTTGATTTCCATAAAACTTCCATTGCTTACTACATTTGTTCCTAAAGGCCACACAGCCAAATAAAAAAACTGTTATAACTTTCACACCATTACTTGCTGATTTTCATAGAACTATACTATCCCATAATATTTATCCCATTTTCTTTTACAAAGGAACCACTATTTCTAGCACTAAGACAATCCTACATGACTTTAGAAGCAGCAACAATAAGTGCTCATTATACAGAACCCTAGGATATTGTGGTAAGCATCGTGGAACTATATAATTGCTCTTGAGTGCTCATTTCCATTGAATCAGCAGTGACTCTCCATCTCTAGCAAAGAGACAGTATTGATTTTCAGTCTCTGTAAGAGTCAAGAAAATGAAGAAACTAATGCTTGCAAACCTATAGTTACTGTGGTCCATTATTTTATTCCTGATCTTAATATATAGATACTGAGGAAAACACCAACCAACAAAGACATCTACATAAAAATTGAAAGATTGTCTATCTTTTCAATCTAGAAGTTATCTAATTTGAACAGGTACTTCAAGGTTAATATAAGAACATTTCAGATTAAATTACTTTTTTATAATCAGTTCAGTTCCTTTAAATCAGGTGTGAACAAGAAAGGAAATGTTAATCTCTCTTAATAAGAATGAGTATTGCTGCCATGTACTATGTATTCAGTTTTGAGAAGATAATAGCAGTGGCTCATATCTTTCAGTCCTGCTGGCTGGGGAATTCTGGGAGTTGAATTGCTGTTGTTGAGAAACATTGCCCTACAGGAATGCTAAATGCCTTAACTGATGCTTTCTGAATCTCTGATCAAGTCTTACCAGGCTTTGTGTAAAAATAGATTTGGTGTCCTTTTGAAAGAGTGCTAGACCATGCTAATTGGGAAATTCTGAGAGTTGAAGTCATCACATCTTAAAGTTACAGAGTTGTGAAACACTGTCTTTAGTGTAAGGCTTGTTCTTCAGCCAAGTCTTCTGAATTGTATCAATTATTTTAACTGATGTTTCCCTCTTGTTAACAGGGCTTGTTTAATTTAAATTTGAAATCTTTTTTTTCTTGTTTTGCTGCCTTCAGTACTCCAAGTAAGGAAAAATAAATTAAGCTGGCTTTCATTAATGGAGTTTTTAACCAATCTGTTAGCTCTTTTAACTATAATTAATAACAGTGGAAGATATACTATCAGAATCTGAAGTGGAAGGTAAATGACACCACAATCATCATTAAATCATCACAGAAATCCCAGTTTTATTTGTGCACTGATATCATAACAATTTTTCTTTCTCTCTTCCCTTAAACATACTGTATATACACACCTAAGGCATATGAAGTATTCTCTGCTTCAGAAAGGCACTCAAGACATAGCTACTTGAGCAAGCCCTACATGCTATGACCATAATTTCCCAGACACTCTTGAGATGATTTGTGTCACAGATCTTTCAGTTCAAAGCACTATTGTATGGCTGATGTGCTTTATTAGCCATCATAGAGCTAGTTTGGTGCAGTTAATGTGCTGGCTAAAAAACTAGGAAACAGATTTTGGCGTGTCTTAGTCATGGAGGCTTGCTGTGTAACTTAGTCACCCTCTCTGAGCCCAACCCACCTCACAAAGTTCTTATTGTGGGGAAAACCAAAGGTGCAGGAGTATAATGTATGTTCACAACCTTGAGATGACCAAATATAAAGATGGAATAAAACTCTAATCACCAACATCTTGCTTTAAGCAAAGTGAAATATAGCAGCAACACCATTCTACTGCTTAAAATCAAGGAAACATTTCTCTTTATTAAAGTGATTGAATCAGACTTTTATGGAAATAAGGACTTCTTTTAGCATTGAACACATTCCTGATATTTACATAGTAGTGCAATGCAAAACATTTACACCTGGTGCTTATTAAAGCACCTTTGGAAGAATGAAGCACCTCCCTTTGAAACATTAAAGCAGGCTGTTCTTAGATTCTTCAGGATGGGTTTCCTGGTTTCCTCTGTGGATATGTGAGTACACTATCACTTTCCTTTGCTGAAGTCCCAGTTGGTAGTACATGCACATGCAGGCAAATAGGGACAGCTTTCAAAGCAGCAGATGCTAGTTCAAAACAGAACAAAAAGGATGCTTTGAAACTGGAAAGCTTAATGTATACAAGTCCAACAATTATTAAAGTTTGTAATTCTCAGAAGTTCAGGAGAAAAGTTTTATATAGTGGATGAAAGGATATTGTTATGAACTTTTAGGTGAAAATGTTCTTGTGAATCCATTGTATTTTGGTTATATTTATATATTTGGTGAATTATATTTCAACTGTGTCCCTTTCTATTAGTTTGAGATTGCATATTTCTTCTAGAAAAGTGTAATATACATGTTCCTGAAACATGATTCCAAAAACGTAGCTAAGAGAAAAAGTTTGTTTTATATTCCAATCAAATTACCACATCACCATTTTGAGCACTGAATTTATAGTCTGGGTATTCATGCCTTTACAATAAGATTCATTCATCAGTAAAATAAATTAATTCCCAGTAGCATCATTTCAGTCTGCATATAAGTGAATGGGGGTTGATGATGATGTTTTTGGATGAAATCAGGAATTGTAGGAAATTGATAGGTTTTTAATGTTCGATTTCATCCCTGAAAGCAATAATGTGTATGAATTCTAAAGCAATGGTAGCTGAATTTTGCAACGTTCTGAAGGTGGGCTGTGATTGGAGAACAGCTTTTTGTGAAAAAAGCCACACCAAATGAAATACACCGAGTGGGTCCTCTTTACTGGCACACGGGAAAGATCTCTTCAAATTGCATAAGCGGAGGCACTAAGTCATGAGTACCGCATCTATGTTAAACTGAGAATCTCGAACTGGTCCAAGTCTTTGCATAACAGCTGTGTGCGCTTGGGGGGAGGGAAGGCAAAGAGAAAGAGAGGTAAAATTAGGGAATAACAAGATCCCTCGAATCCCCTTCAGAATCCGGGAGGATCCGGCTTTTCCCTTTTTCCTCGGGAGCGGGCGGGCGGGCGGGCGGACGTATGTGTGTGTGTGTGTGTGTGTGTGTGTGTGTGTGTGTGAGTGAGAGAGAGAGAGAGAGAGGCAGTTTGAATGGCAGTCAGAAATCTGATCCTGTTAAAGACGCGGTTAGCCAATGGGCTACAGAGAACCCTCGGTTTAGACTAGAGGCCCCTGGAGGAGAAGCAGAGAAAAAACCACTGACGGTTAGCGTCCTGTCAGTGGCGCTTTTCGCTTGAAAGGAGAAGTGCTGGGAGAAATAATTAATGTTCTTATTACATTTGTAGGGACTTTTTGTTTTGGTGCGCGTGTAGGCGCGCGCGCATCCGATCGTCTTTGCTGTACTTTCAGGTGGGTTTTTAACAGCAACTTTGTTGTCTGTTGTTCCGGCGATTACGTGGTTGTGGTTTGCAAGGAGATGGTAGCTCTGCCTTCTCTTTCTCGCTCTCTCGCTCTCTTTTTCTCTCCCGTTAGGTGTAACGCGAGTTGTGTCGTGCGCCATTACTAGTTCTGCACACGTTTACGAATGGGATCGCTCCAGGGACCAAAGCGGGCATGCCAGTTTGGCTCGCGATTTGATTTCTTGTTTTTTTTTCGAAGTCCTTTCCATCCTCTTGCTATCCTCTCCGGCTCTTGCTTGTAACCCAGAGGAAGGCAGCAGAGGAGGGATGCGTGTGTTTTTATGAATGGCACTCTTGGAGGATCATTAGATATGCAAATTCAGGCAGTTCATTCATGACTTAAAAAAAAATATTCTAAAAGCCATCTTGTGTTCTCGGTTTTTTAAAGGCTCTTTGAACGCTGCATCTGGAGGAACTCTTTTAAATCCAATGTCCAGAAAATAATAATAAAAATACTGCGCTAAAGTCATCAGAATGGATGGATTTTATGACCAGCAAGTGCCTTACATGGTCACCAATGTGAGTGATCCGTCCTAAGTTGTTGGGTCTCTTGGTGGGAAGGTGCAATTTGCAGTTAAAAGGGGAGAAGGCAAAAGCTTTTATGGGGAAAATTGTTCTGGATTTTTTTATTTTATTTTTAGACGGAAGTGAAGGGAGGAAAATTTATACTTTGTAATGAGATGTACATTTAATTCAATAAATTTCTATTTTTTTCCACATACCATTTCGGTTTGAGGAAAAACAAAAGCACTTTCCCCCTCATTATTATAATAAAATCATAATTGTTGCAGTTTTAGAAGTTTTTAGTGGTCTTTGTCATCTTAAGTAAAGAGAAGTCCCCTAAAAATAAAAAAAAAGTTTTTCTTCTTTTAAAGGATTTTGACAAATAAAAAGTTAAAAATCAAAGTATAATATCATTCTCCCAACCAGCATCAATCAAAAGTTGGCTTTTAAAAAATACTCTTTATAGGTGTTAGAACTTTAGGTTGCCAAAATTAATACTTACACCTACAGCTCTGCCCTTTTATATAGGTGTCTATATGGACATATGTTTTGAGTAGGTGGATTGAACCATAAATATTCCTTTGCCTCATTTTAATAATTCTAGTTTGAAATTAGTGATAAGATCAGTAGGAAAGCTTTAAGCTTTCTCTATAGCCTTAACATTTAAAATCTATTGCTAATATTGCTTGATATCTAACTTCTTCCCCTTTTCCTTTTAAAATAACCATTCTATTCTATTTGTAGAATCTCTGTGGGAGAAATTGTAATGAGCGACCAGCAAATGTCAGGAAAAGAAAATTCATTAACAGAGATCTGGCTCATGACTCAGAAGGTGAGGATATGTGTTATGCAAGGAGGGGGAAAATAAATGTTACTAGCTCCGTCTCTTATATCTACATACCCTGTAATATGCTTTTTAAATGTTGATGTCTGCGCATTTTCTCTCATTCTCCTCTCTCATGCATCTTCCTGGAGTTTTGTCTACATCTATTTATAGAAATGAGACAAGAAAACCAAATCTCATGATGTGACACAAACTGACAAAAGCGATTCACTGCTAGGCTGATGTACCTTCAATGACTCACCCTCTGTGTTAGGTATTGCCACATTGCAGGGATGTAAGTAAGCCCATACATCTGGAGGTGAAAATTTGGCAAGGATTGATAGATAGTAAAAAGGTGCACACAATTTACTCACCTGTAGGCCTCTGCACACTCTCTTCCCATTATCGTTTCCTTTGGGAGTGCCTACCGTTGTATTTCAGAGACATATACTGAAGTTTTGCTTTAACCCCTAGAGTCAAAATAGGACAAGATTTAAATACTTTTTCTATCCCTACCTTTTTGTTTGTAACTGCTATAGTAACCAACTATGAACTACTCAGAAGAAAATGGCTCATTACACTTTTTAACATCATACCTTGTGGATAACACTTGATAGGTTTGTGGAAAGGCTGTTTCAGGGAAACAACTGTTTCTGTAACAGTGCTGCCTTGATAGCTTGTTGCTTGAAACAGCAATCTCGTGGCTTATTCTGGGTGCAAAATAGTCCCCACTTGCTTCTCTCAAACTCTAAGTAAAGCACCAATGTCCTGCATTGGACTGGGTTCAGACTAGAGAAATTCACTCCTGTCCACCTGCATTATAAGGCTATGCTATCCAACTTGGATTAGTAGCTTTATAAAGACTTCCCAGAGCATGATCTGTAATAATTTTGAAAGCCCATACACCCTTCTAAAAATGCTGTATAAAAAAACAATCTTCTGCTAATGTGGACATAATGATTACTTAAATAACACAAAACAAAATCAAGAGCTTCATGGAATTCATGCATTTGTCCCAGAGAGAACTGATTCAGGTTTGCATTCTGGTTATGTTTAGGATTTATTAACTAAATACATTAACTAGCAAATTCCTCCTCTCCAAAGTAAGTAAAAACCTTACTTTGCAGTGGCAACTTGTCTGGATTTTATTTCTATCATTTTATAATATTTTATACCAAACATATGGACAAAACTGCATTTCATTGTTGAGTACTCCTTTAAAAAATATTAGATTATAACCTGATGTAGTTATTTTGGAGTAAGCCCCACTGAAATCAATAGAATTGTCTCTGAGTGGGTATTCATAAAGAAGTTCAAGGGATTTCTCTTTAAGTAGTCTTGGTCATTCAGAAATCAAGTCAATTGATTTTTATGGGTTTTACTCTCAGGGTGCCTAGTAAAGTCTGTTGATACATGTAAATTATTATTACTGGAGTTGATTAAGATGAAGATTTTACCACATATATTTTATGCAGAATCTAATATTTGCATCTATACAAAATTAGACAAAATATAATAAATTACAAAGATCTTTGCTTAATTTAGTATTATTTGAACATTACAGAGCTGCTGACCCTTTTTTAAATCTCTTATTCTTTTCCTAGAACTGTTTCAAGATCTAAGCCAATTGCAGGAAACATGGCTTGCAGAAGGTAAGGAGGGAAAAATATTTTCTCCCCAAAATAAAGAAGGAAAGGAAAGAAAAAAAAAAGCACTCTGGAAGAAAAAGGGAGGGGGAAAGGGAGGGGGGGCGGGAAAGTCCTGAACTTGCTGTCTTAATGTTCAGCCCAATTAATTGAGCTCTAAAAGAGCCACCTCATGTGTCATGCATACATTAGAGCCTCTGATGAGTTTGTCTTTGGGGACTCTGGGGCTGCTCTATCCAATGTCATCACAAATTACCAGGAGAAATTGCTTCCAGCCCACAATCACATCTGCTTTTGGCAAGAACTAATGCACCAAGACTTCACGTTCCAAGCCTCTGTTCAGATTTTAATTGCAATTGATCAGGTTTATATTATTGTACCTCAGGAGACTGCCTACAGCCAGAACTGGGCTCGCTCTTTCCTTCAGAGCAGAGCATACAATTGTTTGGTGTTCTGGAGGAAGTACTTTTCTGATGGCAGAATATAGTTTCTCTGAGTTCATCAGGACGGGATGCTTCAAGATTTAAGTGCAAGTGTCTTCTTCCCTGCTTGCTCGCAACACCGAACGTTAGGTGTGTATTGGCTACTTAAGAAATGATGGATTTCTATTAGTATTTCAAATTTATAGGTATTTATTTTGCAAGGCATTTAAAAGGAGAAACTTTATTTTTTTTTCTTTTCCTTCCTTGTCACCCCCTTGTATTTCTTTAACTCTGAAGTAGTTTATTTTAACAGCTGACAAACTATAAGAAAATAGTTTTAATGCTGGAGTTAAATTACAGTGGATTTTGATTTGAGTAGGATGAGATGCTGAGAGAAGTTTTGCAAAAGCATAGAAAGTTGATCCTAATCGAGATATATTTTCTAACTAAAAAGTTAATGCTCGTGCCATGTTTGAGTTTTTTCCAGCATGAAGATAACTCAATTCTAATTCTTTTTTTAAAAAAATATAATTGAGAAACAAAGTTGATATGCTTTCTATGTATGTGTGCTCTTGCTTGTTTATACATTTTAGTATTCATTGGGGTTTAAAAATTTTTTTTTAAACTCTTACTGAATGTGCATTGTTTATTGAATCAACATTCTATTTCTTTTGAAAAGGAAAGGGATAATTTGATGTAGTTGCCTAATAGAGAAAAGAGAACTATTGTAATAGTATATACAGACTGCCTAGCTTTTTTGACACCACCCTATATAATTTGCCAAATAATATGTAATTCTCATAAATTTAACTTTTTTTGCCATGCTTTTATGTATAGTATCTAGCAAGGACATATTAAGTATCATGATGTAATAGGTGGTAAACCTCAATATTAATATTAAAGATCTTAGCTAAAATTCAAGAATAGCTATGTAAAGTAACTCTAGTAAAGATCTATACATATGCTGAACTTTCAGCTCATCCTGATAACTTGGAAGACCATCAAAGCACTAAGCATTTGATATTGCTGATTTCATTCAGTGAGTTTTAGTTTTGATGCATGTTCTAATTTGGTAAATTTTGATTAAATGCAGTTTTTTAAATGTGTAATCAGATATTTGTTTAAAATGTTTCTGAAAAGGAAGAATGAACAAAAATGGATTTTATATCATTTGCTAATCATGTTTTTGTGTGTGTTTGCATGAACACACACACAAACAAAAGGAAATAAATAATTTGGGCTATAGTCCTGTACTCAGTTAGAAATAAGTTTCACTGACAGCAATAGGACACTCTTCTGAATTAGCATGCAGAGAATGCTTTGTGCTATTATAAGTTAAACAGATGAAAAATTAAAATCATACTTTAGAGACATGCTGTTTAAACTAAAGCATTCTACCAACATATCTTAAGTAATGTGTCCAGTGACCAGCAGTGTAGTTTAGAACTTGGTTGAATCAAATCCTAAACACGAAAACTAACTGAGTTCATGTGAAATGTAATAGTTGAGGGAAAGTTTTGTAACCTAAGAATACAAATCATACTCATGACTTCATAATTATGTTTTGCACTTTCCAAGAAGGAGAAAAAAAAAATTGAGATGCTTTGTAGGTAATAAGTATCCACACAAGATTAATTATAAAATTGGTCTTGAAGTCAGTCTAGTTTGCTTACTCCTTCATTAAATTTTGTCCATTTATGTTCACATGATTGCTTATACAGTTATAGTTCTGTGAAATAGTTAGCTTTCATAATGCTTTGTAGCCCATAATGACTTTAACTTTCTTAATTCTGCCACTCCTTTTTTTAAAAAATGTAGTAGAGTAGCATCTGGATTACTATGGTTTATCACTTTTTAGTTATCAGAGGATTCTGTCCTCTTTTTCCCTTCTTTCCCCATTTTAGAGAAATAGTTTTTAGGTAGGAAAAAAATGAGAACATGAAAAAGAGGGGAAAAAAGATAGTTGAGATATTTCAACTACATATTTATCAATATCCCTATTTTTCTGGGGAAGATGTTGCTTAAAATGAATAATCATAAACAGTCTATTCTCTTTTCACAAAAGTGGCATTGGAAACAATGGCATTTACATATGTATTGAAGATGGAAAAATAATTCTGTGGTGAATAGAATCAGATTTGTTTGGTGTTATGTGGTGTGCTGTAATTTGGTTGCTGTAATGTGTGTGCCAGATCTAGGATGTCAGATTCAAAAATGGTTTGCATCCAGTGGCACAAGAACCTAGCAGAATGCTTGACCAAACTTTTTTTCTTGTTTTCTGTGTGAGATACAGACTTAAACACTTGTTTTTCCTTCAGTGGAAACTACTGCTGCTGCTGCTGCTGCTGCTGCTACGGGTAGTGTGTTGAGGCTTAAAACAAAATAAACCATTGGGATCTGAGCATTTGCAAAAAAAAAAAAAAAATTGAACGGCTGTTAATAATTTCCTAATTTAGTAAAGCATTACTATCATCTAACAACCTGAGTTATTCAGGTGCCAGTACTTCCTTTGTGCATACATATAAAAGTTTATTCAAAATCAATGGGACTTTCAGCTAAATCTGTTAATTCCTGTGCATGCAATGTCATGGTGATGCCATTTTGTCCCAGCAGATGATGGGACTCCCCTATTGAATTTGTAGATATTGCATTAAATTGCTCTTGACAAATAGAAGTTAGCAACTGACTTCAAATAATCAGCTCAAATATGAACTTAATGTATTTTTCATTATCGGAAGCTCCTGCTGTTTATTCTGTAACAAAAAAGGGAAAGAAAAGACTGGTGGTGCTGAAAGCCTGCTGTGTTATGATGGAAACAGTTTGTGGTTTGAAAGAAAAATAAGCTGAAAAATAAGAATGTTTTAAGTTTGTATTCAAAACATTAAAAATGATGGATAAACAAGTGTAATGTAAATGTTATAGGAAGTAAAACTGTTATATTAGTATTGATTTAACAAAATGTCATCTAGAAAGAATGATCTGTTAATCAAAAGAATGGCAATTTTTTTTTTAAAAAGTCCCTTTTCTCCTTTGGATGATACAAGAAATGATTTCTTAAAAATATATTGGTGCCAGTGAAAGTAATGGCCAGATTTTGTGAATAAACTTTGTGAAAATTTCATGTTCTTGGCACAGTTTACCTGTTGTGTCTATTCTGGCTTTATTTTATCATTTCAAATGTAATTGCCCCTTTTTTATTTTGATCAAGAGAGAAAATGATATTGAAGTGCCATAAATCAGGATGTTAAGTTTTTTTAATTCCTTTATCCTCATCTTTTCAATCAAGAGAGTTATAAGAACTGTTCATGTTTTATACAGTGTGTATATATGCCCTTAAAATAAAGAACTAAAATGTAAATTTTTCAGTACGAAGAATTAATGAGAAATAAAAAGTTGGTACAGTAAAAGTCCCCGAGGTATTTGGGGAAAAAAAGTTCTAGGGTTATCTCTAACACATAATAACTTGAAGACATCTGTAAGATGAAACCTTCTAAAGGACTGTGGATGGGAGATCTGTGTATGTCTTAAAGACACCAAAGATATATAAAGTTAGGCTTTTGGAAGACATATTCATGATATCTTTACATGCACATAGATCCTAAGAACTTTTTTTGTGCTCATTATAAAATAGTGTAAAAACTTTATATAATCAAAGAAGTAATAATCTGTCTCATAGATCTACTTTCTAGGGCTGCAATGTTAAGATCAGGCTGTACTGACAAAACTGTTTTGGATCTGAGATTTTATTAGTCACTTTTATATCTCAAAGCTCTTAAAAGTATTTGGACAGAAAGTGTAGATTTTGGAAAGAGTGTGCTTTTTAATAACTTAAAAGGCAAAGTGTTATATCCTTATTGTATAATTCACTTTAGAAAATTAATTGGAAGAAGTACCATTTCTTTAATTTATTTATATTTTAGCTGGTAAATAATTTCTTGTGTATAGAACGGTGAGAAATGTACTTGTTCTTAATTTGTGTAGCTCTTTTTTTTCTTTTCAAAGGAGAATTCTTTGATGTTCAAAATCTTTGACAACTTGGCTTATGGATTGCCAGAGTATCAAGAAGTAATGCTACCGGGAATGTCACACTCTATGTAAAATTGATTTTTAAAAAAAGTAAAAATAGTGCTTTGGCTAATTTGCCTTGTGCATTTTCCCTTTTCTCACTCTGTATTTCCTGTGCATCTCCTTTTTCCATTCTTAGACCATCTTGTATTTTTTTTTTTTTGACATCTCATTTATTGTATTTGTTTCCCTGATAGGGCCTGTGTAGTGTCTTGAGACAAAGCTGTGGAACTGGTGTGTTTATATAAAAAGTTCAAGTTTATTCTTCTGTCTCTCTTTCGTTGTCTCTATTGGGGGTGTGACAAGAAAAGATTGCGGTTGAGGCCACATGTTTCTTGCTGGATTCTGTTTTTGTGAATGAAGGCAGAACTCCAGTTCTGACTGCTTCTCTTGAATAATTGTTTAAGAGATCAGCTGTCTCATTCACTGGCAAAGAGAATGACTCATACATCTTCTGCCTTGTTTGGCTGCAGGTCATTGTTACAGTGGATAGAGCTGGTTTTAATTAA